GAATTCCACCCATCTGCTTCCAGTGGAATTCGAACTTCGGTCAGTATTTCAACAGTTCACGGGTGTACCAGCTAAGCTAGGCTAGTTGGTAAGCCTTGTAATTTTATTTATTTATTCTTTTTTTTTTAAGCCCAACCAATTCAATTACCTGTCAAATCTGGACAGGCCTTGTGATTTCTAATTTGCTGTGATCCTTACACACACACACACACACACACACAMAAAAAAAAAAAAAAAAAAAAAAAAAAAAGCTGTGATCAGAAAGGCCCTCTGCTCTCTACATTCCGCGCTTTGCTCTGCTGTGATGACAGATGCCAGGCAAGACAGAAAGAACAAGAGGAGGGGGGGGGGGGAAGAAACAAAAGATAGAGAGCGCTGTCATGATCTCTAGACTCCACGGGGTCCACTCAGTTGTTGATTGAGGTCGCAGTGTTTCTTTCTGTTCTGTACCAAAGGACTACCACCCCTATGCTCACCTAACCCCCTCCCTCTCCTCCGTACAGTCTTTAGAGGGGAGGTTTTTTTATTTTGATTTATGATCTAGGCTACCAGCCGGACCACCCGGGTCACCTTGTTTGCCCAGGCTGGCCCGGCCGTGCAAAGACCAAAGAAGGTCCCAGCAAAAAATAAAAAATAAAAAGTCTGAAAAACAATTATGTTATGCAGAAAAATAAACTGAACAACTTTTGCCTCTGGGTCACATCGAAATCCCTTACCAAATCTAAAAAAAAAAAAAAAAAAAAAAAAAAACGGTTTAAAAATCTTTTTTCTTTTGGCCCGGCCGGGCAAGTGGTCCCGAGCCATGTGAAAACCAACCTCTCCTACTACTGAGCCATGAAGGACCATTGGTTGATGGACTGGTCGGTGACATGCACACCTTTTTTTCTTTAATATATATTATATAACAATGATAATATCCTAGTAATAATAAAAATATTAAAATAAATAAATAAGGAGTATTAAGGACATACATCATATACTACAATATGCATCAGTCACTGATTAATGGGAGTCTACCCCCTCTGTTACGTGACATACAGCAAGGTCACAAATTCACATGATTTTATTTTCATTTCAATATTTAATATTTATGTATAATAACATTATAAGTTATAACAGTAAATAACTTAATAAGTAAATATTCAAAATTTTATCATTTTTACTGCCAACTACATCAGTGACAAGTACCCTTATCATCAACCGGACGTAAGGAGGGCAGGAGGGAGTTCGGACACCTAGGCTTTGCTAAGCAAACGTTCATTGAGCTTCATTCCCTTATGTGTGCGCACTGCACAGTGGAGCCAGGATTGGCCATGACATTCACTTCCGCAAGTGCCGGGATTGGCCATGACATTCACTTCGGCAAGAGACAAACTATCTGGCTTCGGGTAAAAAAAACAAAAAAACAAAACAAAACAAAACAAACAGGATTAAAAAATAGATGGCGCCTCCCCGACAGTACTTAAAAAAACAAAACAAAAAAAACAACCAACTCAGAAAGTATGTGGCCCATTGTGTGTTGACTCCTGGCATGCACATGGCTTCATATCTGTTTGGAACTTCGCAAGTCTTCATGTTGCGTATGAGGGCGAGAACAACAACAACAACAACAACTCAGAAAGTATGTGGCCCATTGTGTATTGACTCCTGGCATGCACATGGCTTCATATCTGTTTGCAACTTTGCGAGTCTTCATGTTGCGTATGAGAGCAAATGTGGCTTATGGTGTCAATATACTAGTCTACACATGGCAGGCTGTAGTTATATATGCCAACTAGAGGTCACAAGGACAATCACAATTATTCAGGTAGGAGGGGGGAGGGGGG